AGTTATACGATATTACTCAAAAAAGATAATTTATGTTCATTAAGCTGAATAATATTCAAACTTGCAAAGCATGGCCTACAGTGTAACAGAATTGTGTAAGAAGTTTTAAAGTGATTTTAAAAATGCATCTAGCAAAATTTTAAAAGCATATTAACTTTAAAAATTAACATTCATAGGTTTTTCAATACAATATATGAAACTTAACCTTTTCATTTTCCTACAATTTGTCCCTAATTCCATCAACTCCCGAAATCGCACGGGTGCCTTGCAACCCTCTGGGACCCTACAAGTAAACAGAAATACACCAACAAAGGTATATAAACTATGACTTTATTTTCCTGTATATAAAGTGTTTCAAAATGACTGGTTTATATTTGAAGAATGTAGAAGTTCTAGAAATTATATAAAAATACTTCAACATTAGCAAATTAACTTAAAACATATATATATATATATATATCACAGGTATCACATCACAAAAAACGACATTCTAGTTTGTATACTAATTTATAGTAGCGTGCAACGATACGAAATGTGAACAGCAAATTTTCGAAAGTAGTATAAGCTTTCCTATCGAAATTCTATTTTAATAGGTAGTAGTGCAACGTTTGGTATAGATCACAGTGTGAACCGCTGGTAGAAATTTGTTATTCTAAAACGACTGGCAACATTGTTCAGCTAGATTCAAGTCGATGCTCTGGTGTTATTCATCTCAGCTCACTGCTGGACTTGGTATGTGGTATGTCGTGATATATTACGAGGTTAAGGAGGATTTGATCCTTTAAACTTAACATTTCATCAGTAGCATTGTTCAATGTATCACAATACAACCACGCAGTCATTCACGTAAGTAGATAAAAGGTAACAAATACAAAGCAGCTAAAACAGACCTATACCATTTAAATATGAACAACACTCTTCATAATTATGGTGCCAAAGCGATATTTAAAACGTTTTACAGGCTGCTGTTAAACTCGTACCCTTTGATTAAAAGTAAACAATGAGTTCATCACTCTAACTTGTGATTTTGTAATGTTCACTCCGTCCGCAATTATCAAGGCATCACAATGGTTGACGCTTATAATTCATGACTGTGACGAGCAAGTTCTAGACTAAAACCCATCCATAAAATCCAGTGGCTCAGAGTTTCCTATAAACAGTGATGAGCCAGATTGCAGTCTCGAATTGGGTGATGAATTTAACACCTAGTGTGTGGTGGTATCCTTTCACAGTATTGTTCAGTTTGCACAGACCAATATATGATAAAATAAATTTAGGTTGACTCAGCTTATATTTCACATTAGCACATTAACTGGTTTTTTCAGCACATCATCTTCAGCATATTTCGATATGAGTATATGAGCTGAAGAGTCCATCTTCTTGACTCCAACAATATTTGACAAGTGATCATTTTTATAAACACTGTAAAACAGTGCTTCGTACAATTCACATAACAATTCAGTGAGAATGAACCCATTACTAGCTGAAAGCTGTGTTGTCTAATTATTTTTGAAACATAATACATTCCTAAATATTTAACTGCCATCAACTTTTACACGTCTTCTCCTGAACAGAATAACATTAATAAAAACCAGTCAGATTACGCTATCTGAGAGAGCTACTATTTAGGATTCATTTCGGATCTTTGAATATTACTCAAGAATTAAGAATAGTGTATACATTCTCTTTCTCTTACGTCTAAATACGATTTTGTGTAACCTTATTATTATTTCTGTAACCTTCCCCTATTATATTTTGTTATTTGAAGCTAAAGTTTGCGTCGCAGCTTTTTTGTTTTGCTATATACAGGGTGTTAGTCAAAAAGATAATTGCAATAACCTTTATCTACAGGTTTTATCAGTTCTTTTTAATTCACCATTAGGCTTCTGCGTCACATATTCTCTTTTCGATTTCACTTTTGGTGCAAAATAAAAGAAATCTTGAACAAATTTATATAATCGTGAAATAACTTTTGTTTTTGATAGGTGATTGGTAGGATGCTACAGTAAACATTGAATGAAATAATCTGATTGGTCGAAGTTACGAAAAAGGGTATAACGAGGGTCAGTGCCAAACTGTTATCTAAAACTTAACCTGGATGTATATCCATCCAATAGTTCATAGCAGCATTAATAATAACGTATATCCATCCAATAGTTCATAGCAGCATGAATAATAACGTATATCCATCCAATAGTTTATAGCAGCATGAATAATAACGTATATCCATCCAATAGTTCATAGCAGCATGAATAATAACGTATATCCATTAATAGTTCATAGCAGCATGAACAATAACGTATATCCATCCAATAGTTTATAGCAGCATGAACAATAACGTATATCAATCCAATAGTTTATAGCAGCATGAATAATAACGTATATCCATCCAATAGTTTATAGCAGCATGAACAATAACGTATTTTTCTGCTATTACATATTGAAGTATGTTTTCATTATATTTTTGGAATAAAAGTTGTAATATTATTTTATAATTGTTACATATCTAAGGAAGTTAGCCTACTTACTGATTTTAAGTTCATAGATCTACACAATTATCCTAAGTTACTGCTGTTATTATTTTGTTTTTTCCTTTGTTTTCCTTCACAAAACGAAAACATTTCTGTCGTTTAAAATGACCCGCCGAAGGTTCTGGCAAACCAAGTGCCCCTATGAAACCTTGTGAACCCATCTTTTTCTGGTTACACTATTTACATTGGGTCATTGTTGGTCCTAAACATGAAAAAAAAACCTTTAGGATTTTAAAATTGTAGCGTTTCGTTTCTTTTTTCAGGAAATATACTTGTAAGTTTTAGCAACCACCTATGCTGAATGCAGGGTTAGATATAATGTGTAAAACAAGACAATGAAACATCCGTTGGCTTTTAATAACTTGTATTGTTTAATTAAAACTGTAATAAAATCTGATCTATTATTATTATAGAGAAGATCGACACCAACTTAATGGCTATCTTTATGCCGTTCCAAATAATGTTACGTCGACTTACAAAACATTAGCATTTTCTATGAAACTTATATGTGTATACAAATTTAACGCAGGGATTCGTAAATTAACATGCTGCTAACAGAGAGCGACATTTTTCTAATTGTAAAGGCTAATATTTCTGACACGTAAAGTTTAACGAGGCATTTTTGTGATTTTTTCCAATTCCTGGTTAAGAGACATGAAGAGACATTAAGAAAAATGTCATACTGACTATAACACTACAAAGGTAAATGAATAAAATCTAAGTTTTCAAGTCACATGTTGATATTCTTTCCTTAGTCTGCTGGTTGTATTCTAGAGGCAGGTGTAGACCTGAAGAAGATCTGCTGGTTGTATTCTAGAGGCGGATGTCGACTTGAATAATTTCTGCTGGTTGTATCCTAGAGGTGGGTTTAGACCTGAATAATTTCTGCTGGTTGCATCCTAGAGGTGGGTGTAGACATGAATAATTTCTGCTGGTTGTATCTTAGAGGTGGGTGTTGACCTGAATAATTTCTGCTGGTTGTATCTTAGAGGCGGGTGTAGATCTGAAGAATTTCTGCGGGTTGTATCCTAGAGGCGGGTGTAGACCTGAAAAATTTCTGCTGGTTGTATCCTAGAGGTGGGTGTAGACCTGAAGAATTTCTGCTGGTTGTATCCTAGAGGTAGGTGTAGACCTGAAGAATTTCTGCTGGTTGTATCCTAGAGGTGGGTGTAGACCTGAAGAATTTCTGCTGGTTGTATCCTAGAGGCGAGTGTAGCCCTGAAGAATTTCTGTTGGTTGTATCCTAGAAGCGGGTGTAGCCCTGAAGAATTTCTGCTGTTTGTATCCTAGAGGTGGATGTAGACCTGAAGAATTTCTGCTGGTTGTATCCTAGAGGCGGGTGTAGACGTGAGAAGCTGCAAGGAACGTGATGTTACTTTGCTTCCATTGTCAGTTTGTTTGCTCTTTTTTCATATGATGGTCATCAATAAGAAAAATTTTGCTTTCCCTAAACCCCTAGGAGGATAATGCTCTTCCTCTGAGCAGACGCCCTTCCTTCTGGTTCACAATTACAACCAAACAATTCTGTCATTGTGGTGATAAAATTGGATGAGAGAATCTAACGTTTTCTTACCATATGCTTTCTTCGTGCATCTTTAACCTCTTAAGTGCTTGTATACATTATAAATGATATATATTCATTATTTTAGTGTTATTAACTGGCATAACTTGAACCTATATACTCTACATATATATCTTTATTTCAAAATCTGTTTGTCTCTATGTTCATCGGAATGACACTTTAACTGCCCAATCGGCTAAATGGATAAGTTAGTGACCCCTATGGCTCAGGCATAGCCATTCCTAATTGTGAAATGCAGAGCAGAAGGTAGACAGACAAAAGGCAGCTCCTAACCGGGTAGAGGAGTTGACTGTCACTCTTGTAATATATCCACAGTTGAAAGTGAATGCCATTCTTGTAATGTATCTGCAGCCAAAAGTACGAAGTTCAAACCTGGTACTCTCGGGTCCACATTACAATATGATAATCATTAATTCATGCACTGGCCTTCCAAATCACATAAGCTGAGTGTAACAACAGCATTTCAACCACTTTATTTATGGTTGGATCATTAGACGAATGATTTTGAGCCATAGTAATATAGCCTGTCACAGATGAATGATATACTCGAGGTCATATACTAAAATTAAATATACTCAACCATCTTGGTAATTTGGAAATTTAGAAACTGTACACACTCTGTTTATGGTCACATTGTGCAGTCTGATAATCTGGGCATGCAGATACATCTTTAACCTGAAGATGTTCAGTTATTTTGATGATGTCAGGCGACAAAATTTCAAACTTCGTTATCTTAATGTTCAAGATTAATTTCCTATTAAATCTAAATATTTTGTGGATATAGATAATTTTTGTTTCTTTGTTGTTAAGCGCAAAGTTACGCGATGGGCTAACTGTGCTGTGCCCACCACCGTTGAGGTATTGGTGGACAGGATATACATAAAACTAAATTAATACAGTTAGTTTGTATATGTCAAATGATTAAGTTTCTAGTTTGAGTTTTTGATACACAATTTGAAACGAACGAGCGTATGTTCGTTTACTTATAGAAAATTCTCAGAATGACTTGATATTACATGTAAGACTTACGTAATTCTTGATACACTAGATTATATAATGGTTTTCTTGATAATGTGTGTATTTCACAAAATAGTGTTATTTTTAAATATTTAGTTTATTCCGGAATACATAGAGTACTTATTATTATTATTATTATTGCATTAGTAAATCTTGTATACTTACTGGTAGACCACGAAGTCCCTGAACCCCTGAAGAACCACCAATACCATTTTTACCTGATATACCTGTGAGTTCAGTCTTTCCCTAAATTTCAACTAAATATAAACATTAACTTCTGCACATAGGAGATCTAAGAAAGTTTACTTGTAATTTATCTCTCTTTTTACTAGTTGTTTCAAAATTATTTTTCCATGAGAAAATGAGTACACAAATAAACTCCAAAACAACACAAGGTTCTGAAAGTTTACAAGATGGAAAAGCTAGCAACGATATGTCAAACAGAAGTCGCTTGTTAGAAAATAATAATGAACATTTTTCATGTATTTAACTACTTCGTGTAAATTGAGTATTTCAGATAGAAATATTCATTGTTTACTGACTTGAAGACCAGGAAATCCAATATTCCCTTTCTCCCCTTTTTCTGCCTGTGATCCATTGTCCCCTTTAGGTCCAGCTACAACCCGTTTTCCACGTCTTCAAATTTTCCATGTCCACCTTGTTTACCTTGATTGTTCAATAAAAACAAATGTTTCTTACAAAAAAATATCTTAATAAACTTTTCTACAAGAACTTTTGAGTTACTTTTCAAAACAAACTATCATTTTTTTATTGCTATATAAAATTAATGTGCAAAATTGTATACTGACAAAAAGTTTGAGTCTTCGTATTTCTACATCACGACATAATATTTCAACAAATAAAGTTGTGTTTAGAAAACACAAGCAAGCTTTATTATGACGCCAAAATACATTGCCTCCAGCAATATTTATTATCATATTCAGGGGTTAGAAATATAAAATCTCCAGTGGCTCAGCGGTAAGTCTGAAGGTTTATAACGCTAATAACTGGGTTTCGATATCCGTAGTGGGCAGAGCAAAGCTGCACCAGGGCTATCAAATTCTAAATAACGATGTTATTACAATTTATTATTGAATTTTATTAGAACATCTTCTTCTAATTTTCAATTAGACTAATTTTTGTATTAAGTAGGCTTTGCAATATATTTTTCCGGAAAAATTAAAATATATATTAAATCTTACAAGAAGTTAGCAACAATTCAAATGTTTTAACTCCTAACTGAACTAATGCTTCGCAATTATTATAACCTTTAAATACAAAAGAAAAATACATTTTATCTTCAGTAATGTAAATATCTTGAGAATGCTGTATTCATAGTCTGTATTAAAATTAATGAACGTAGAGCTCGGTATGCATGAAGTGCTCCACGAGGAAAGGTAAGATTTATTTTATTTTAGTTCAATATATGACATTAATGTTACATGTAAAAAGATAAAAAAGCACAAATGGCAATTAGATCGCTTACTTGATATTTAAGGAGTTAGTCTGGGTTAGTAGTTAATGGTTTATCTGAGCTGGTTTGCTGGTTAAGGAAGTTTATGTAAACACCAGAAACGATATTTTCCCTAAAGATGAAGACTTACAGTATTAAATGTATAAAGAATACACTTCTTTCTACTGGCATTAAGATACAATAAGATTGATTAGGAACACTAAATAATATATTGACTGGGCACTCTATTAAGATATCCATACGTTTGTATAACATTACATTTAATTTTAAAATAGATTGATTATTTGATGTGCCAAGTGATTGTTTGAATCTACTCTAATACCTGAACAAGCTTTATATGATATTTCAGAGTAATTTTGTTTCTCCATAAAAATATTAAAAATATACAGTACTGGCACGATTATAAGGGATGTTTTTTGATCAATAATTAGGCTGTAAAATTCACAGTCGCCTTATAATCGCGGCCGATGACGGACCCCTTCCACTACGCTAGCCTGCTGAATTCCTGAATGTCTAGATAACATCCATCTATGCATGTGCACCAGATGTTCGCTCAAGATTATCGCTAATTCTTGCAACTAATCCACCTGCAGGCTGTTCAGTTATAGTATTGATTTTGCGGACCTAAAAAAAGACGTTATGACGTATCTAAACATATGAAGAAAGCTCTAACAGCATGCAGTTTATAATTTTCAGTTTTGTTCAACTTATTAAATTAACAAATAAACATCTAAATTGTTATGCCACATTTTAAGTCCTTGTTTTATTAATTTGAGGTGAGAATTACATGAAGAAGATATTAAAGAAAAATGCATTACCGTTTGGCCCGATTATAGGGCGATCTCGAATATAAGGCGACTCCATTTTCAGAAACCATGGGAAAGAAAAAATTAAGTAAGCTAAATTATTGTAGATTCATATAAGTGAATAAGATCTTGTTGTTGTTGTTCTCTGAGTAGAAAAAAAAAGTTTAATAATTGGTTACATTTATAACTTTTCTCACTTTTTTTAACTGTAACTTAGAGCACAGAAAGATCTTCTTACCTGAGTTCTGTTAACATCTGGGACAAGGAACTTCTTATAGCCACAATGCTTATGTGCAGTTATGATAGCAGAGGTGGTGGGAACAATGAAGATGGTTTCTATTATGAGTTATTTTTACAATACAAAATCAAATTTTGTATTGTAACTGAAATTAGTCCATTAAAAGATTTGTAAAAAAAAGACATGTCCATGCAAACACATACAGACAGTAAAAGAATAAATAAGGATAAACTATTGTACATCACAGACAAAACAAATAAAACATTTCAAATACAGAAGCAAAGTATAATTGTCAGTCTTTCGTGTACTACAAAAATAACAGTGTACTATTTCTAGATAGAGTATGCCATATTATTGCAGTTAATATTAACTAAATATGTCCAAAATAAGAAAATAGTGAATAGCAATATCTATGACATAATAATTACTTATATAGGTTCCGTAAAAGGCTTAAGTACGTGTAATTCGTTTAAATTATGTTATATTTAAAGAAACATAGAATTAATTTTACCCTTTTTCCTCTTCTGCCTCTTTCACCTTTATCTCCTTTTTCCCCATGATTACCCTGTGGTCCTGGAATTCCAGAGTCTCCCTAAAATACAATAACCAATTATTATTATATAGAAAAACACACCACAGTAATTTCTTCTAAGAAACTGAAGAAATAAACCAGCTACTATTTTATAATATATACAGAAGATTAACAAGATTTTGTGTGGCATCAGAATCCTTTGTTTATTTCAAATAAAAGCAAGCGTAATGTCTTATAATCTCACACTTAATATTAAAGATTTCACCTTGATGGCTGTACGTCAGAAAGACTTGTTATATTTATAGCAATTGAAATTTGTATATGCTTTGTAAACTAGCCTCTGTATTTAAACTCATTGGTAGGCCACTTATTTCTTATACTGATTATTACTAAACTACATATTGTAATACAGCATTAAAATAGATGTAAGGAGTCTGATGAAACTAGCCCTTTTATCCATGCTACTTTACACTGTATTAGATTAAAGATTACGTAATGTTAGGAATAAAAGTGTTTACTTATTACATCAAAATCAACATATTTTATTTGATTCTTCGGTATTTTGGATTAATGAGCTTTTATCTAATTTTAAATAATGTAAATGGAGCTGACGTACGAAAAACGTATTTAAAATTTTCTGTTCAAAATACAGCTTGTTCTTTTCAGTTCACAATCCGTTTACAAAAAATAAGTAACGATGAAAAATAATCATTATTAACCTTCCTTCCCTGTGGCCCAGCAGGTCCAGGTGGTCCAGGAGGTCCTGGTGGACCTTCTATAAACCCAGTGGGAAGTTTATTACCATCCAACATTGTGGTCAAGCCTTGTTCACCTTTGTCACCCTTTACTCCCTAATAAGGCACACATATACATATAATGTTATATTAGCCAAAAAATATCTATTTTTCATCACCTCAAAATGTAATACTTTTATTCCTGAGAAGCATCATAATATTACAGTTTAGAATATGATACATTGTTTGGAACGTGATACATTGTTTGGAACGTGAATCACTTATGCCATCCACTAACAGAAAAATTAATGGTCACTACTAAAGATGTTAGAGGAAAATAATATTGTCCCAAAAATTGCACTATCTAAACAGCTTAAGGTAATATTTATTACTCGAAATAAAGGTTTACATAATGTACAAACAGAGTATTTCAAGAATACTATGTTTTCTATAAAATATTGCTAAAGAATATATTTTTATGTCATATTCTTAGATAATATGTTCCTATGTATATCATGTGTTTTAAGGTATTTCGGTACTATACAATGTTATTTAAATTGTTGTTCTATGCCATTTTTTTCAAGTACAAGTTTTTGTAAACATGTTTTTTAAATATATTAGTTTCTATACCATGTTTGAGCTTCTTAAATCACATTTTGATATTAGTTTTTATCATGTTTTCTTAAGTATTATATTTCGTTGTCGTACTTTTTAAATGTTAATTTTCCATGCAAAGTTTTATCACTGCTAACTTTCTTTGCTAATTTAATGCGTTAATTTTTATACATTTTGGTCTTTAAGTATTATATCTCATTACTATGATTTAAACAATAAATTTCTACAGAACGGATAATTTAAGCGAAAATTATCTAGAAAAGAAGTAATTTAATGATAGAAATATACTGTAACTTAATGAAATTTTATTGTATACCCTAAAATTACTATCCTTTTCATAGTTTCTTACCTATTCTGATTAACTTTACCCTAATTACAAATATACCAAAATTTGCATTATGTCTTTAAAATTGTATCTTGAAATTTTCTACGCATGCAAGTCTAAAAACAAAATGAACACATGCGTAATTTGTTTTTATATACTAAACGCAGTAACAAAAATTCAACCAAGTTTTGCTCAATATCTATTAATGAAGCTTTCACCTTTTCTCTTAGAGTAACTTATGCATTAAGAAAAAAGTATTAAGATAGTATACCAGAAAAGTGGTAATTAGAGACAGATTTTTCGAAACGTCGACATATTGGTGACTTTCAATTATCAAACTATAGCTCGGAGACAAATAAAATCGGTGGATTTGTTTGAAGTTAAGCAAAAGCTACATGATGGGCTATCTTTGCTCTGCCCACCATGGGGATTGAAACCCGGTTTCTAGTGTTTTAAGTCCGTATACATTCCGCTGTGCCACTGGGGAGCGGGTGGATGAGTGGTTCATTTGTAGCCCAACTACATATATATAAATCATGGGAACATAATAGGATACAGGATTTTTTAAATTTATCAGTACGAGTTGATTAGAGACGAATATTAAAAATTACCAGTAGTCCATTTTTTTTATAACACTGGGGTTTATAAGGACAATCAAAATATCTTTAAAAAGCCATAAAAGTTTACAAAATGAGCGAATCTCATCTCACACATTTAGCTATAATGAAAGGATATATCTACCAGACACCAATCAAATATGATAAAAACCAAACTGTATTATATATAAAAGTAGTGTTGTGTTTCGTTTAAAGCTTAGACGTTGAAGTATTTTGGAAACACTGATATAATCAAACCAATAGCTCATTTAAAATTGATAATACAGTTAGATGAAGTACATTTTGTCGTTAATCGCCCATTTTGATATTACTGTATGCACACTAGTACGTGTTTTCTAACCTGATAAAATTCTAATTAATCAATTTTGAGACAAAATTCAATATACAGAAGTACAACAGTGGAGGGACATTAGTAATAATGATTTATTTTTCAAAAATATTGCAAACACTGATTTATAAGCCAGTTTTGAATATTAAATATTTGTTGGACATGATTTTATGCAGGAACAATTTCTATCAGGAAAATAGTCACAGATTACGAAGTAATATAGCGTAATAAATGATAATAGGATTGTATCAAAGATGTTTAGGGCTGTAGTTTATCAAAAGTTGTTTTAATAAGAAGAATTAATGAGTCATATGTTTTGAAACTTAACTACTTGATTTCGGCTACTACAATGAGATCTATTATTATGACTGTCTTAATTTTGTATTAAGTATCGATGCCTGAACCTCTTATTACATCCAACTACTCCCCTCAAAATACACTAGCGAAGTCCTCACTAGAGAGCTGCTGTAAACGACTTAATTTTACCAGAAATACTGACATATCTTTTTTTCTGGTTTTATATTCTTACTTCAACTGGTTGTTTGGCTTGATCTATTTACAAAACAGACTCTAAACTAAATTTTGTGTATTAGAATTCTTGTTCCCTGCCTCAAATTTATTGAAGTTTTGTTTCGTATTGTTCAAATCTGTTCTTCTTCTTCTTACAATAAATGGTTATTGAGTGGATTTTGAAATACTTTTTTATTATTACTGATAAAATGTGCGATATGTTTCCTTGAAGAATTGATCGAAGATGTTTAATTTAATTCTTATTGCATTATTATATTTTGTTTACCTTTCAAAAGATTCATGCTTTGTGATACTTCTAACTAAACTAATGTATTTTAAGAAGTCTTAAACATCAAAAGACTTTTTCAATCATTAACTTATACGTAACATAGCTTGCTGAAAAAGCAGTATTGTCTTCTGCAGAAAAATCACAACATGAACATCATTTATAGTTGAGATTTGTAGATGCTGTTTGTGTGTCTGAACACATGGTCAAAACAGGCTAGAAAAGTTTTGTGCTCTTTTTTAAAAAAACAGAGAAAATAGATAAAAGTAACAAAATAAATTTAAGTAAGTTTTGTTCACTTTGAAACCCCAAAGAAGTTGGATAGAATTTACAAAATACATTAAATAGATCACAGCCTCCTCTTTTTTGATTGCTGCTCCAAACAGTACACCCAAAGAAAGCAGTTTAAGAACTAATAGATACAAAAAAACCAGCACATGGTGACAGCCGTCTCTATTAGAAAGCGTAACATCCAACTACTGTAAAACTAGAGTGATGTGGATGCTTTGTGTCAAACAATAAGAATGAAAAAATGACTTTGATTGATATTTCAAAGGAATACTTATCTAGCCTAGCTATTAACAAGAACGTTTACAAAGTTCCAGACAAACGATATGCGATGAGAGAAGAAGTGCAGAACGATCTAAACAATGACAAACAACAAATTTTGGTGATACTTTACATTTCCACATTAAGTGAAAAATTAAGGAAAAAATTAAGAGAGTTTAATGCTAAAGTAATTCTTAAAGTAAAGAATATTTTACAAAATTTTTTAATAATTTAAAGAGAGTCAAAGAGGAATTTCTTGAAACCTGTCAGTTTGTAATCAATGATTGTTTTTACAATCAAAGTTATTTATATATCAAGTCAAAGAGAAATAACAATTTATAACTAACTTCTACATGACCTTATAAATCAATATTATTGAAATAAGGTATTTTGAATATTATCAAACAAAACGGTAATTTTGTAGCAAAAATAAAAAAGCAAAACAAAACTTCTGTAGTCTTTTCTGTTTCCATTGTTTTCTTATTATGCATAAAATACGAGTATGCACGATATTACTATTTTGTATAATTAGAAATGACACTTTTTGCTCTACCCTAAACAAGTCTGCAAAATTTCACTGACCGGATTTGTCTATTTTTTGATTCTAGATTTATGTGAAGCTTTCCAGACATTTTAAAAATTTTCAGTACCTCCGAATGTGTCCAACATCTAGTGCAAGTATTCTTTTCCTTAGTTGTTTGAATGTGAAGAGGCAAGCTCAGTGTTGAAGACTCTTGCGAAGTTTGATTGTCAAAAGTATAAAATCTTCTTTAAAATGGCCATCAAACTGACCTATATTTTCCCATTATTTTCTGCTAAGGGAAGCATTTCCAAAAACACAAGCACGCCAAGTACAACAGCGAACGCTGGACTGAGCGATTGCAACGCGAGCACCTAGTAACCAGAGCTTGCAGGTCCTTTTTTTATCCTCGCAAAATTATCTGAGTTTAATTAGTTGAGGCAGTTACTTCTTTTTAGTTGTAAATAAATATCTTTGTTCTTCAAAGCATGCTACATCAGTGGCGAATGAGAAAGAACATCGATTAATAAAAATGAGAAAATACTCTCCTCTCCTTCATCCGTTCACTCTCGTTCCCAGAGTTTAATTCATACTCATCTTAAAACGACAAAGTAATCCAGTGTAACTGCTGCTTCCGCATCTTTTTCACACGTTGTCATCCTTAAAGGTAACACACTTTCCAATCTCGTGTAATCTACTTGATAATGTGTGGAATATCCTTCACTACACTTTTTTTTTACCGTACGAGTTACTTCTCATAAAAGTATAGTTAGACCATACTCATTGTAGTGTAATTAGTTTGGTTGATGTAACACAGTAAAGTATGTGGAATTCATCCAAAAACGCTTGGGATAAAACAAAAGCCAAAATTATGATTTAGCTCAAACAATAGATGATATCTAATAAATAAATCAATCAAAATAAAGCAACTTGGTATTACTCATCACAAAACATCACTGTTTTGCATTGGACAAAATGTGTTGTGGTGAATTAGAAGCTAATCTGAATCTAAGTTCAGGTTTACATCACATGCATAAAATCATGGAATGTGAATAATGTCAAGGTGTTGAATTTTGCTTTCGCTCAGACGTTTTTACGGATAATTGTGTATTATATTGCACCCCGAAATTGTTTCAATGACATATTACTTTCTATTCTTATGCTCATGTTCCTCACTTATTTATATAACTACACACGACTATACTTTGTAAAATAAAACTTAGTTTAGTTTTCTCAACACTTAGTAATTATAGTTTCATCAGGATACTGTGTTTTAGCAAAGGTCAGTTTATAAGAGGTTTCTTAATCAAATTTACGTAATAATACAAACATTAGCGAAACTAGTCTGACGTAGCTGAAATAACAAA